AGTCGTTCGGGGCCCTCGTCGTGGTGTGAGTCGTTCGGGCTCCTCGTGGTGTGAGTCGTTCGGGCGCCTCGTCCTGGTGTGAGTCGTTCGGGCCCCTCCTTCTGGTGTGAGTCGTTCGGGCTCTTCGTGGTGTGAGTCGTTCGGGCCCCTCGTCCTGGTGTGAGTCGTTCGGGCTCCTCGTGGGGCCTCTTGGGGGGCTCTTGGAGGCTCTTGGGGCCTCTTGGGGGCCTCTTGGGGGCCTCTTGGGAGCCTCTTGGGAGCCTCTTGGTGGCCTCTCGGGGGCCTCTCGGGGGCCTCGTGGAGCCTCTGGGGGCCTCTCGGGGGCCACTTGGGGCCCTCTTGGGGGCCTCTTGGGGCCTCTTGGGGGACTCTGGGGAGCCTCTTGGAGGCCTCTTGGGAGCCTCCTGGGGGCCTCTTGGGGCCATCTTGGGGGCCTCTTGCGACCTCCTCTGAAGCGCGAAGGAGCGCTGCCCCCTGAAAAGGACAAAATGAGGCCAAAACCTTCGTAAATTCAACGATTTTGCTATGGAGGAAGAGAAGCGCGGCCCCCCTCAGGAGGCCAAAATGGGGCCAACACCGTAGTAAAATCAATGATTTTGGCTTCAAAGAAGCGCAGAGGGGCCAAACTGTGCCCCCCCGTCGGGGCCAGAATCCTCGTGAGGGTCGTCGTTTTTTTGCCCTCCCAGGAGTCGGAAAAGACCACTCCAACGACCCGCGGGACCCCCTCTCCAGGTCCAGGGGGAGGGGGTAGGGGGAGGGGTAAACCCCTCCCCGAAGGGGAAGAAGGGGGTTGGGGGATTGAGAACAGAGAAAGCTCGCTAAACCACTCACGCCCAAAGGGCTGGTGGGATTTGCTGTGTGCTCTAGCTGTCAGCCTTCTTGGCCGTGCAGGGGCAGCATTCTAGAGGTATTCAGCTAGCGCCTCGCAGGAGGAAGATAGTATGGAAGAGGAGAAGGGGTAGACGAGGAGGATGGGGAGCATGATGAGTAGATGATAAAAACGAGTATGAGGAACATGAAGATGATGAACCTTATGCTGCCGATGATGATGATGAGGATGAGGATGATGAGGATGATGAGGATGATGATGAGAACGGCTGTGATGGTGATTATGGTGATGACACCGATGATGATGACGATGCTAATGATGACGATGGTGATGTTGATGATGCTGATGATGGCGGTGATGATGATGATGCTGGCAGCGGTGGTGATGCTGACGATGATGGTGATGGCAGCGGTGGTGATGGTTATGATTATGCTGTAGATGGTGACGATGACAACGACGGTGATGATTATGCTGCTGATGATGATGACGAGGAGGGTCATGGGCTTGTCGATAACTGATGATGATGGTGATGATGATGCTGCTGCTGCTGCTGATGATGGCGGTGATGATGATGGTGGTGATGCTTCTGATGCCGATGATGATGGTTATGATGGTGGCGTTGATCGTACAACTGATGTTGTCGAGTATGATGGGGATTGTGATGATGATGCTGCTCCTGATGATGACGACGGTGATGACGATGCCGAGGATGATGACGACGATGATGATGAGACGCTGATGTTGAAGACGATGACGATGACGATGATGACGATGATGACGATCATGATGATAAGGACGATGATGATGATGATGCCGATGATGATGATGATGATGCTGCCAACGAGGATTCTGATTCAGATGAAGATGCTGATGATGACGATAATGTTGATGGCGATGGTGATCATGATGGTGGTGGTGATGGTGACGATGATGATGATGCTGATGATGATGATGCTTCTGTTGATGATGATGCTTCTGTTGATGATGATGACGATGGTGATGGTGACACTGATGCTAATGATGATGACGATGACGATAACGATGACGATGATGATGATGATGATGATGATGATGATGATGATGACGATGCTGATGATGATGGTGGTGGCGATGGTGGTGACGAGGGTGGGGATGATGCTGATGATGATGCTGCTGATGATGAGCATTATGATTTGACGATGATGGTGATGGCGATGGTGATGGTGATGGTGATGTTGCCGATGATGATGATGATGTTGATGATGATGATGATGATGATGATGCTGATGCTGATGCTGATGCTGATGCTGATGCTGCTGCTGATGATGATGATGCTGATGACGGTGATTCTTATGCTGCTGGTGATGATGATGCTGATGCTGCTGCGAATGATGATGCGTTATAACTATATCATTAAGTTGTACTCAGAAGATGAAGAGGGGGAGGAGGAGGATGAGGAGGAGGAGGAGGAGGTGAAGGATGAGGAGGCGGTTGCTGGACACGTGGGGACTCACTAACAGGTGCGCTCGACCGCCTGTCGTCGCCTCGGTCAGGGGGACGGCCCAGCGGGCGACGAGTCTCAAGATCCACACGGCCGAATTCTATACCCCGGTTAGGCGGGCTATACCCTGATTGGACGGGCTATTCTCCGACAAAATTGGGCTATACCCTGGTTGGAGCTTTCAAACCGCCCAACCACCCAAACACACCCAACACACCGAATGCCACCAAATAATACCAAATCCAAAGCATCAAACAACAAACCCCAAATATCAAACACTAAACCCCAACCCCCAAACACCAAACACCAAGCACCGAACACCAAACCCCAACCACGAAGCCCAAAGATGGCCGAGGTTCGCCGTGGCCGTCAAAGCCCCTTTGCTCTCTGTGTCCGCTTCTTCAGGGGTCCTGAGGGAAGCGGGCCTGGAGTTTTTTCGCCGCTTTCGGGCTCCAGGGACCCCAGCGGCCCACGGATTCTTTTCGAGTTCTTGAGGGCGTCTTAGGTTGTATTAGTATTCCTCGGGACTCTTTCAGATTCCTTGAGGGTTCCTTGGGATTCGTTTCAGGAGTCCGCAGGTTTCCAGAGGATTCCCTCAAGATTCCAGTTTGGCCCATTCCTTAGGATCCCTGAGGATCATCAGAGGTTCCTTCGGGATCCTGCTGGTTCTTTAGGGTTGCGTCGAATTCCCTCGGATTCCTTATGGATCTGTGGGTTTCTTTCGAATTTCTTTAAGTTTTTTGTTTTTTTCCCCCCCCCACCCCCGCTCCTTTAGGAATCGCATACGAGTTCCTAGGAATCGCGTGCGAATCACACGGGAATCGTAGACGAATCTCAACTTAATCGCATACGGTTCACATAGGAATCGTGTACGGTTCACATAGGAATCGTCTACGATCCCCATGGGAACCGTGTATGATTCGCGTAGGATCCGTACACGATTCGCACAGGGATCGTTCACGATTCACATAAGAATCGCAAACCGCCCACATCGGAATCGTATGCAATTCACTCATGCTTCGTATACGTTTCGCATGGGAACCGTATGCGACTCACACAGGAATCGTATACGAAATACGTAGGGCCGGTATAGGATTCAGGTGGGTTTGTGTACGGTTCGCACTGGAACCGTGTACGGTTCACATACGAACATTATACGATTCACATAGCACCCGTGTGTGTTTCACATCGGAGTCATTTACGATGCACATTGGAGCCATATGCGGTTCGCAGGATCCGTACACGATGCACATATGAGTCGTATACGATTGACAGAGGAATTGCTGACGATGCACATAGGAGCCGTATACGTTTAGCACAAGGACCGCATGCGATTCACATAGGAGCCGTATACGAGTCGACGAGGGGGGGCTTTCGTGGAGGATTTCGCCATCGAGCCATCGCCGAATTCGTGAACGTGTCTTGAGAAAAACCCAGGACACGATGATGCCCATAGACATGAGCCTTGGCGGCCAATGCGAGGGCGGGGGCGAGGTGGTCCGAGCGCTGGGCGCCTCTGGAGCCATCGGGGCGCTCTCGTCCGCCCGCGACCGCTACGAGGCGCACCCCGAAAATATAGTACACATAGGACTCGTTTACGATTCACATCGGGACGTGTACGATTCACATAAGAGTCGCTTGCGATTCACGTAGGAGATACGATTCACATCGGAATCGTATACGATTCACGTCGGAGCCGAACACCATCCACAGAGGCATCGTATACGAGATACGTGGGATTTGTATACGCTCTATATGTATATGTATACGGTCCACATGGGAAACATATGCGATTCACATGTGATTCGTCCACGATTGCCATAGCAGTCTTGTGCGTTTCACATATTTTCGTATACGATTTATTGGGCTCGTGTACGAACCACATCGGTTTTGTATATTTTTCGCATCGGGTTCGTATGCGATTCACATGAGAACTATATCATATTAACATAGGAGTCGTATTCGATCCACAGTGGAACCATGTACGATTCGCATCGTGGTCACAGACGTTTCGCATTGGAACCGTAAACGGATCACATCGTCTATTCAGATCTAGGAGTATAATATGCACATAGGAGCCGCCCACTCAGAATATCATTGCTGCAGATGGGTTGTCCCAGGGTTGTTTTCCCAGGAAGCCATGTGGACCCCTTCGGGGCAAACCATTGGCACTCCAGACTTTCTGAAGATGGCTTTCAATCGAAATGAATTGTAGAAGGTCTTCCGAAGCTTACGTTCCAGAGGGGTGTCCCCTGGTTAACTGGGGTATAGCCCGTCCAACTGGGGTATGGCCCATCCAACCCGGGTGTTGACCACTGCCGGATCGGCACAGGGGGTCGGCCCGAGGGGGGACCCCGTTGCAGAGGGCTCGGGGTGGGGGGTGCCGTGCGGAGACCCCCTGGGGAAGCACCCTGGGGGAGCACGTGGGGGAGCCCAGGCGACAGGAGGCATGCCCCAGGGAGGTCCCAAGGGGGCGCCCCCCTTGGCACCGTCACCCGCCCCGTCCCGCCCGCCACCCCCTCCCCACTGGTGCCTTCTGCTGGTGTGCCTGCGCTGCTCCACGGGCGCTCCCCCTACGACCCGTGGCCTCTCGCGAGGACGGCTTGCTCGTGCTCGTCTCGGCGCTCGGGCTCGTGCCGCCTCCTCCCGTGGGCCCTGCTCAGCGGGGCTGCCAGCGCCACCCCTCGCCAGGTTCCGTGTGGAGCTCGGGGAGGCCTGCGGCGACAAGGCGAGGGGGCCGGGAGGCAGGGGGCTGCCGGACTCGAAGAGGCCTCCCTGGGAAGCGCGTTCAGAGACAGAGGCTCGGACTCATTGCTGAGAGCTGTGGGCGCGCAGTTTCGGTGAGTGGCCAGAGGTACATGTTGGGGGTTGCTAAAGGTGCCCCTGGCCCAAGATATCGCTCAATTTTGGAACCCCTGGGGCTCTCTGGGCCTTGTGAGGGGTGCTCTGGAGGCCGTGGTGGCCTCCTTGGACGTCCTGGGGGCACCTTGGGTCAGGGGCACTATTATTAGCAACAGACGAATAGTGATCGGAGAGAGCACGTGGGAACATCTGGTCTCTTTCCAGCAGTCAGGTGGGTATTGTTGGTCTTTTTTTTTCGTTTTTTTTTCAGCGCATGCCAACATGTCGGAAGCGCGCGTTCACGCGCGCGCAGGCGCACGCTCACGCGCAGCCCGTTTGAGGGCGGGGCGCCGCTACAATGCCAGGGCACCCGTCCCTGGACCCCGTACCTCCCCCAAACCTTATCTATAATTGTACAGGGGTGTGGTCCCAGCGCCTAATTTTTCCGAGGTAAAATGGTTCCAGCACATTATGTAGTCAAAACGGGTGGGTTCCAGCGCATCATCTTTACGAGGGACAATGGTTACAGCAGCAGCCCACGGCGTGGGTTCCAGCACCCAATTTTGTCAAGGGAAAGCGGTTCCACCATATTATGCCGTCAAGAAGGGTGGGTTCCAGCACCCTTTTTTCCACCAGGGACAATCGTTCCAGCAACCCACGGCGTGGGCTCCAGAATCCAATTTTGACGATGGAAAGCTGCTCAAGCAGATAATGCCGACAGGACGGCCGGGCCATCGTCTGAAAAGGCAGCTTGTGCGACCCGCGCCCCAGCCACGAACCCTCGAGTCCGTCAAACATTTCACTGGCAAGATATTCACGTGGCTGTAGTCGTAGTTCCTGCTGTCGCTGCCGTTGGTGCTGGCCAGGTGGGCGGGGATCCTTGGTGCCCGCCTCATCCGTCTCCTCCCTCTGCAGCAGCCTGCAGCAGCCTGGCATTTCAGGCGCGACGGCGTTTCTTTTCCCATTCGAGCGTTCGTGCGTTCGTGTAAGCGTCGCCGCTGTCAGCGCATCTGGCGAGTCGGAGCAACCTCTGGCTGGCCCAGGTGCCAAGGGGCGTCTGTGGCCTCAAGCAGGCATGACGCGCGGGAGTGCGTGGGAGGCACCGTTCACGCCAGTCGCGTCGGAGCACGGGGTGCTGGTAACTCCTACGAAGTACCATCTCCGCACCTTCCCTCCCCGTCCTGCCTTCTCCTGCTGCCCTTTTCCCCTCCCTTCCCTCGGCCTTGCCCTGGCCCCAGCCCTGGCTCCTGCCCTTGCCCTTTCCGCAGTGGCCCTGGCTTGCCAGGCCTTCCCACCCCCGTGCCCTCCCGCCGCCGCCGCCGTCTTAGATCACGGGGGGGGCGGGTTTTGCCTTGCCTGGGACGCGGCGGGCTCCGAGCGGCGACCGCCCCAGTGCCCTTCGGGCCGCCCCTCGCTGGCCGGCAGCGCGGCCAGTGCCGCCAGGGCGCCCCGCGGGCAGATGGTGTGGGGCGCCCAGGGGCGCTCCGCTCCGCGCGAGGGGTCTGACCCGGAGGAGCCCGAGGCCAAGAGGGCGCGGGGGCTGGCAGAGGGCGCCGACGGCGCGGTGGAGGCGGAGTGGTTCATTGAGCAGCGGCTCGTCGGCTGGATCATCGGCAAGGCGGGGGCCACCCTGAAGGAAGTGGAGGCTGCCTACGACGTGAAGGTTGTCGTCGACCAGGCCACGAAGGGTGAGGGTTATAGCAAGATCATCGTCGCGGGGCCATCCACCAACGTGCACAATGCGGCCGACCACATGAATACCTCCCTCGCTCGCGCGAGCGGGAACAGTTCCGGCGACGTTACCATAGGCCCTTTCCTGCTCGAAACGCCACCCACGCTGGAGGCCGACCCGATCCGCGGCGGCCCCGACGTGGGCTCCGAGGAGATAACCATCGAGCAGCGCTTCGTGGGCTGGCTGCTCGGCAGGGGCGGCGGTGTCGTGCGCGAGATCGAGCAGGAGAATTCGGTAGCAAATCATGGGAACCTTGTGCGTATGTCGTCGCAATTCCGCCTTCAGAGTTCATCAGCGTGCGTTAGCGTCTGGTAACCGATGGGGAAGCGCCGATTTAGCTTCGATTAGCCTCGATTTAGCGTCGATTTGCCTCGATTTAGCGTCGGTTAGCGTCGGTTAGCGTCGACTCGCGTCGATCCGCACGAGCCAACACGATGGTATGGGAGGCTCCCATGAGTTGCCACCGAAGGAGAGCGGGTGCAAGGTGAGCATCAACCAGCAGACCCGCGCGCAGGGCTACAGCACCCTCCAACTGTACGGCAACGCCGTCCAGCGGGAGCAGGCCCGGGGCGCGATCGACGCCTCTCTGCAGCGCGCGGGGCAGACCCGCGGCGGCCCCCCGCCCATGGCCATCGGCGCCGTCGTCCCACCGCGCGGTAGTAAGGGCGGCTTCGTTCCCAGCCCAGAGGGGGACCCCGGGGAGGGGCCCTGAAGGGGTGACGGGCAGGGCTGCTCACGGTCCGGTCCGATCCGATTCAATCCCCCAAACTTCGATTCCGAACCGACCCGATCCGACACGAACCGCCTCCCTCTCTGGCCCGCAGGGGCCGAGTCCAACCCGCGATCCCAAAAGAGCCGATCCTGGTACGATTCCGTGCCGATTCGGGCGCGGCCCAATCCGCTTCCGATTTTTCTTAGAACATTTTCTCTAAATGTATTATTTGAACGATCCAGCCAGCTCAGACCTGGCTCATGATGTTCAAACCTACTCTAGACTTAATCACCAGAAAGAAGTTCGAGCGCCAAGAAAGTACCGAAGCTGGAGGGTTATCACGTGTCGGGCCCTGGGAGGCGATGCTCGTTCGACACCGTTTCGATATTCTTCTAGGTGCTTCAAATCATTTTTGGGATGTGGTTCTTAAGTGCGATGTTAACAACATAGGGCCTGGCATGGGGGAGCACCCAAGAGGACGGGGGTGGCCCTCGGGGAAGCTTGCTCGGGGCTGCCTCCCTCCCCGCCAACGTCGTGCCCTGGATCCTCCGCCATACCCCCTTCCGGGTCCCCGCCCCAGTTGGATTCCCCTCTGACCAGCGGCCAGCCGATGTTCACGCTCCGGGGCGGCGGTGCGTCGTCCACGCCTGGCTTCACCGTGACCATCGGGGGCGCGGGCAGAGGCGGCGGCGCCATGGCTGGGGGGTTCGTCGGCAAGGGCTGCGGCGCGTCTGGCCAGGAGCAGGTGCAGATCGAGCAGAAGTTGGTGGGCTACCTGCTGGGCAAGGGGGGCGGCCTATGCCGGGAGATCGAGCAGGAGCTCGGCTGCCCTGATGCTCGGGGGCCCCCAAACGGTGTGGTGACCACACCGTGCGGTGCGTCGGTGGGGATTCGGGGTCACCGCACGGTTTTTGGACTCGGGTCGTTCTCCGAGGATGTCTCGGGCGGCAGGGGCCTCCGGGGTCCCAAGACCGCGCGGTGACGGACCGTGCGGTGAGGTCTCTTGGGGTTCCGAGGTCACCGCACGGTCTGTCACCGCACCGTTTCGGGACTCCAAAGCCCGTGCTGAAAGGAAACACGTACCGTGCCCACAATGTCCGTGTCAACACGCTGCGTGTTGGCTCGGCACGTGTCGGTCCACACTTCGACGAGTTTATCTCGCCAGACTATCATTTTTGAGCTCAACACGCTGCGTCGTGTGTGTTGCGTATCGGGGCAGCTGATAGCAGGAGTGCGGCGTCAGGATAAAAATCGACCAGTCCAGCCGCGACCAGGGCTTCAGCACCGTGCACATCGACGGGCCTCCTGCGCAGGTGGCCGCCGCGAAGCAACTCGTGCTGGGGAAGCTCTCCCAGGTGAGCGACGCAGAAAATCGGGATCGACTGCGCCGATTGGAGCCGTGTGGGGTCTGAGGTGGCCCAGCACTGGTTCTGGCCAGCAGGAAGGGCGGGCAGGTTCGAGGTTCTGGGTTCGGGAGGGTTTTTGGCTGTTTTCGGGGCCATCAGGAAACCGGTCCGGTTTAAAACACTGTGCGAGGTGGATCTTTGGAGGGATCCAGAGACCGATTCTGAGAGGATTTGGCTTTATCCCTCTCTTGGCTGGCTTTGGTGTCCCCAAGCAGTTCAGACGCCCCGGCGGCCTCCAAGATCGTCACGACATTCGCAGGTTGAGCGTAAGCGCCCTCGTTTGTGCAGTGTGGCGCGCTGGCGGCTCGCATAAGCCACTGCGTAAGGTCGCGATGCGGTATCGCGCAAGACCTCTCCCCCAAAAAATATATAGAAAATTATCGTCGCTCAGGTGGGCGGCGCTCCGCTGGCGGGCTCGGCGGGCGAGACGACCATGCAGCTGCAGGTCGAGCAGAAGTGGGTGGGCTGGCTGCTCGGCAAGTCTGGCTCGGTCCTCAAGGAAATGGAGCTCGGCACCGGAGCGAAGATCTCCATCAACCAGGCCACCAAAATGGAGGGCTACAGTGTGGCCGTCGTCAGCGGCACCACTCCCCAGATACAGAGTGCCTACGCCCTCATGTACCAGAAGATTGCGCAGGTGGACCCCACGGCAGCCGACAGCGGGCTCGTGCAGCTCGCTGGAGACCCCCTGACAGCCACAGCTGCTGGCGCTGGAGCAAGACCTCTTTCCGCGGCGGTGACGGCGCCGAAAGCGAAGGGGCCTGGCATCACGATAGGGAGCCAGACCGTAGAGCTGCAGGTCGAGCAGCGCTGGGTCGGGTGGCTGCTCGGCTCTGGCGGCAAGACGATCCGGCAGATGGAGGCCACGACCGGGTGCAAGATCTCGTGTGACCAGAGCACCAAGGATTTTGGGTACACGCTGGTCAAGGTCACGGGCCCGGGGAACGCAGTGCAGGCAGCCCTGGACAGCATCCAGAGTTCCCTGGCCATGGCGGAGAAGGGCGGGCAGGGTGGCGCGGACGAGCTCGTGGACGCCGGGGCGGGGACCGAGACCTTCGACATGACCGTGGAGCAGAAGAAGGTGGGCTGGCTCCTCGGCAAGGGGGGCGTCGTGCTCCGGGAGATCGAGACCACCAGCGGCGCTCGGTGCTCGCTGGACCAGTCCACGAAGGAGCTCGGCTACAGCACCGTGAAGATAACGGGCAGCTCGCACGGCATTGCAAGCGCCCAGCAGATGATAGACGCGAAGCTCATGCAGGCTGACGGGGTTTGACAGCCAGAGGCCCTCCCCGTGGCCTGCTTCGTTTGATCCGTGTTCATCGGTAGGGAGGCTGCCGTATTCTCGCATCCTCTCGTGCTGCCCGCATTCATTGTCTTGTCGGCCGACCTTCTTAACCTCACCTCACTTCCTCCCATCATCACAGCAGCTGCCGCCGCACCTCCGCAGCTGCTGCTTGCGCTCCTGTTTGCCCTCCTTCTGGATGGGGAGGGAGATGATCTGAGAGGGAGGGGCGAGACTGCGAGGGTACGTATGGCGTTCCAGAAGGGGCCTCGCCTTCGCGTGATCGAAAAACTGACTTCTCTTCTTCGGCGGAAGGTGGCGGAAGGCCAGCGGAAGCCAGAGGAAGCAAAACGAGGCCGGCTCAGCCGGCGGAATCCGGCAGGAGAAAGCCGTTCCTCCAAAAGAGATGCATTTTGGTTGGATCCAAGATTGCCAGAGCGGTGCATCTGTGCAAGTTGCGTCATTTGAATTTCAGGAGGGTGAACAAAACACACAGACACGATTAATTGCCGACTCCCATGAAAATATGGCCCGTCGGGCTGCGATCTGCACGAGCGGGCCGGCGGCTTGGTCGCGGCCCTCGCACCGAGCGAGCGCCCCTGCCCCGGCACTTGCCATCCCGAGCCTTCCGTCGGGGAGAGGCCTGTTCTGGAGCCCAGCGCCGGTGATCAGACGAGGGCGAACGGCGGTCATAGCAGCTGACTGGGAGGCTGGGCTTGCTTGTCGCGGCCACCCTCTCGTCTGCCCCTCTCTCTTTCCGCATCTCCGGTTTTTGCGCAAGATGAATACGGCTACCTTCTCTCCCCTGACCGCGTTGTGTTTTTCACCATTCACTCCCGCGCACGTTTCTCTTGGCGTGCGACTTCAGCAGACTCATTCCCGTACGTGTCTTCTTCCACTCGGAGCGCCCCCAGTTGCTCGAAACGATGCTCTCGCCTCGGCGCCTGCCACGCCTCGGCGCCTGCCACGCCGATCATGAGGTCCAGTCACCTGCCTGCCGCGGCCAAGTCAGAGAAGAGGGCGCCCGCACGGAGTTGTTCGTCATCCCCGCGTGAGTTCTCCCCGCTGCCATGGCCTGCTCAGGACTACAACGCTATGGACCAACGCCGCGATCACGGCCGGAGACCACGAGCCACGACCAGAGGCCACGAGCCACGGCCGGAGGCGACGACCAGAGACCACTACCAGAAACCGCGGGCCACTGGTTTTGATCGCGAAGGCGGCTTCCAGGTAAGTCGGGCATGTCCCTCTACAAGAGGATCATTCAAGAAAAATCTGAAATAGTCAGGGGACGATTCTTTGGGACACTTTTGGAATATTTCTTCCGTCTGTAGGAGGACATGCCCGACCTAAGCCTGCAGGCCGTAGAGGCCTTGTACAGGACCCGTACAGACAAGCTGCTCTGGGAACTCCGGCAGTGGGAGGGGACGGGGGCAGGATGGCCAGATGTGGCGCAGGCGCACCTGCCTCGCCCTTCTACCGTTGGACAACAGGAGTGCTGCTCTCCACTCTCCCGCGAAGGCGCGCCGAGAGAGGCGCCCCCCCCCTCGCGCAGTTTTTTTACACAGGATTGGCACGAGTTCTTTTGTCGTCTCATTCGCTTGTTTCGATGAGAGGCACGCTCCCTCCGCGTAGTTTATTGCACAGGATTGGCAAGAGTTGTTTTTGTCGTCTCGTGCGCTTGTTCCAATCCGAACGGTCTTGGTCCTTCCAACACGGTGCTCGCACTGCTGCATGGGCCTCATGTTGGGATCGGCGCTGTGCTCCCGTGGTTCAGGAGGGCCACACTTCTGGATCTGAGCCCTCTCTCATAGTTGTCGCCCCGCTCCTTTCCCCTCCTCCGCCTTCCGTGGTCCTCTTGATTGTCCTGCTCCTCCCACCCCATGCCTCTGCTGCTGCTGTTCGTCCTTGTCTCCCTCCTCCCCCTCCTCCTCCGCGTTTTTCTGCTGCTCATCCTCCTGCTCACCCGCCACCTCCTCCTCCTCCTCCTCCTCCTATGTTCGCAGCTCCCCCTGTCCGACTGCGCATAAAGCGATGGGGTCTTTTTTGTTGGAGTTCGAGGCCGGCTATGTCACACGTCCACGGATAGAGACAAGACAGCGCAATGGAAAGGGATACGTAGGAGAGAGGGATAGGACGTCAGGTGTGGCGCGAGCGCACTTTTTTTTGTTTCTCCTCTCTCCTCTCCCCCCTCGCTCTCCCTCTTCCCCTCCCTCTCCCCCTTCCCTATCCTTTTCCTTTCCAGCCACGTGGGGCTCGAGCGCGAACGCAGCACGGGGCTTGAGCATGGGGGCGCCAGGCGCGCGCATTCAGTCGCCCCCGCTCGCCTCCGCAGTGGCCCTCCCTGCGGCGCCCCCCCTCTCTTGGATCGGATGGCCGCGTCGCGACGTCTCGGCCCGCACGAGTGGCAGCTGCGCGCCGCCGAGCGGGCGCTCCGCGAGAACGTCATCGTCAGCGCCGAGACCGGCGCGGGCAAGACGCTGGTCGCTCTGCTGGCCGCAGAGCGCGCGCTGGAGCTCGGCAAGGTGGCCTTCACGGCGCCCAACAGGCTGCGGGGCTGCTGGTGACGGCGACGGCAAGACGACGGCGACGGCGACCACGGCCGCGACGACAGCGACGACGACGACAACGCTCTCTAGGCCGCTGGCGACGGCGGCGGCGAGGGCGGCGACAGCGACCACGACCATGACCGCGATGGCGCCGGCGGCTGCGACGACGACGGCCTCCAGGCTGCTGGCGCACATGCAGTTCGAGCGCTTCTCAGACTTCTTTGCCCCGCCGCAGGCTGGCGAGCCTCCTGGGCGCCAGGTGGGCGGCGTAGAAGAGCGAAGTCGGGTGCGCGGGCCTTCGCGCGTGAGCTGTCCGCTGCGCGTAAGTGCTCTATTCTTCAAGCGGTGTGCCGCGCCAGTGGCCTGCGTAGGCCACTGCGCAAGGAAGCACGTAAGTGCCCTCTTCTCCAAGACTTGCGCCGCGCTAGCGGCCTGCGTAGGCTACCGCGTCAGGCGGCCGCGTCGTCTCGCGCAAGACTTCGTTCTTTTCCTATCTCAGGCGAGGGTTGTGGAGGTGACGGGGTATACCGCTGGCCAGTGGGGCAAGGACGAGTGGGATGATTGCCGAGGTCGATACGACATCTTCGTTGGCACCCCGGAGGTTTTCAGGCAAGCTCTCATCGACACAGGTTTCCTCCGCCTGGAAGACTTCTCCCTCTTCGTGGTCGACGAATGCCACCATGTGTCTGGCGAGTCGGACGCGGCGGCGTTGATGGCACACTTGCACTGCGACGCCGAGAACGAGCGCCCGCGCCGAAAGCCGCACGCGCGTGTGCGGGTTCTGGGGCTCACTGCTTCCATCGTGAAGTGCAAGGCCGAACAGCGCCATACTTTTGAGGAGCATCGCCAGGCTCTTGTTGACGCTATGCAGGCGCGCATAGAAGTGTGCAGAGGGCCACCTCGTTACCCACCTAAGTTCAGAAAGGTAGATTTTCAGGTGCCCCCCGAGGGCACCAGGTGCCTCGCGGAGCGACTGTGCAGAATTGTGCTCGAGTGCGTTACGGAGCACGGTGTGAAGTCGAGCGAAAAGGCATTCCAGAAGATTATCCGTGCCTCCAGCGTTGTCCTCGAGCAGCTTGGTCGGGACGCTTTCGTTTGGTCGCTCGAGCACGGCATCGTCCCCCAGATCGAGGCCAAGATCGACGACGGGAAAGCGATGCCCGAGACAGAGCGGCATGCCCTGTTTCTGGAGGGACACCTGGACGCCCTCCGAGAGGGCATCGGAGCGGCCATGGTGCAGGTGAAGCAGGAGATTTTGGATGCGGTTTCAGTGAAAGCAGTCAGCGACAAGGTGAAAGCGGTTGTGGGAGTTCTGCGGGGGACGTTTGCTGACCAGCAGTTGCACGGCATGGTGTTCGTGTCCGAGGTGAGCCTGGCCATGCCGCTGGCCAAGTTGCTTCAAGACGAGCTCCGCATGGATGTGGAGGTCACTTCGGGCACCGGGTCTATGAAAGAGCAGGACCGCAACGATGCATTCTGGAGGTTTCGTACTGGCAAGTCGCGCCTTCTCGTATGCACCAACTGCGCCGAGGAGGGCGTGGACGTCTCCGCCTGCGCGTTCGTGGTCCGCTTCAGTGCCATCCACACCTCGAAGGCCCACATCCAAGGCGCTGGCCGAGCACGACTGCCTAGGGCGACCATATTCTACGTGGAGAACGACCCACCCGTGGAGATCCAGAGGGCTGGGCTCATGCAAGAAGTCGCGGCAGACGAGTCGCTGCCTGGCCCGTCTCCCGCCGCGGGCCGGCTGCCAGTGGGCTTCGAGCGCATCCCTGGCATGCACCCGTACGTTTGCCCCAGCACCGGTGCACAGGTGAATTTCTCGGCGGCGCGCACAGGGGGGAAGGCAGAAGGGGCCGGCCTTCTCAGAAGCTATCTCAGCCTTTTCCCACGACGCAGGCGGCTTCTCAGAAGGCGGGAAGGCTTCTGAGAAGCCCCGCCGCCTTCCAGCAAGGCCCACCCCCTTTGACTCCCCCCCCCTGGGCGCGCCGCCGAACTTCGGGAACGCCAAGAAGCTGCTTTGGCTGTACGTCGCCAAGCTCACCAGCGGCCAGGCCACCATCAGGGGCCGGACGCAGAAGGAGGAGGACGCCGCCGTGCCGAAGGTGCCACTGCTGGTCGACGCCTCGCATGCGGGTGGCCCCGGGCTTGTGCTGCCGGGCCCAGGCGGGGGTTGCGTGCTGGCGGAGGCAGTCAGGGGCAACGTTGGAGCTCCGAGATTCGAGGGCTGATTTTTTTCCTGGGCGTTTTCGTTGGATCTCGGTGGCTTTCCTGCCTCGGGATGCCTTCCAGCGGCTGCGCCTTGCCGAGAGCGTTCTGGGACTGCCCAGATCGTCCCGAACGGCCGCCAGAGGCACGATAGATGTCCCAGAAACCACCCAGGAATAGGCTCAGGCGGGGGCGAATCGACCCTCAATCGCCCATTCATCGCCGATCGGGGCCCGATTGCCCACCCTGCCCCAGGAGCGTGCGGAGTCGCTGATTGGGGCCTGTCGCCGATCTGTCGGCGATGTGTCGCTGGTTCCAGCTCGACGTTTCCCCCCTGAGCGGGCCCCCCCCGACGGCCGGAGACTTTTCGGGCAGCGAGCCGCTCCGCCAGGGTTCTGGCACACCGCGCTTCGGTGCGACACGCTGTCCGTGTTCCCACTCCCCAGGCTTCCCCGTCTCGAGCCCCTCCTGGCCCCCCGCCCCGCGGAGCGGAGCGACACGCCGTGCCCTCGCAAGGCACACCGTGTCGCTGGGGCCGCCGCGACGATGCGCTGTCCAAGGGTTCGCGGACCGCAGCGATGCCCCATCACAAGGCGGACGCCCGCCGCTTCTTCGAGGGCGCCCCGCGCGCGGCCGCGGTGCCGCCCGGCGTGGAGGTGCAGCTCTTCTACGTGGCCCTGCTGGTCCTGCGCCGCAGGGGCTGGCTCGACGAGCACAACCGCGTCCCGAGCAGGGTGCTGAGGTTTGGGCCTCCCAGCTGGGGTCGGAGCAGATGGGGTCGGAGGATCGCGCCGCGTCGGCGATGCTTTGGCGATGCGGCTCGATGCGGATTCCGATGCTCTCTCCGCGTACGTCGCCGTTGTGTCGCCGACGTCGCTGATGCATCGGCGATGCATCTACGATGCATCGGCGATGCATCGCCGATGCGGCGAGATCCTCCGACTCCATCGACTCCGGCCCCATCTGGGATGCCTCTATGAGGGAGGCCGTGTGGCCCGTCGAGGTCAAGGACGGGCGCCTGGGATACCCAGAGCTCCGACGTTTGGATTCTCGCGACGTGGGTCCCTTGAGGTCGGGACCTTTTCCCCGGGACCAGTTTTCCATCCCCAGTCGTTATCTGACGGCCCTGAGCCTCCCCCAGGGGCGACCACAACAAAATAAAGAGCGTGTTCTACCGCTGCTGGCGGAAAACTGGGGGGGTTCACTGGGGGTTCCTAACCCGTCCCCCACCCCCTCGAAAACCGGGGGGGGGGTCATTACTGGTTCGAACCCCCCCCACTACAGGTTCGAACACCCCCCCCTCGAAAAACGGGGGGGTGGGGACAGTGGGACAGTGGTGGGGACGGTGGTGGTGGTGGGACAGTGGTGTGGGGACAGTGGGAATGTTGTGGAAACAGTGGGACAGTGGAGGGTACAGTGGTGGTGGCGACAGTGGTGAGGGCGGTGGCGAGGACGGCGGTGGGATAATGGGACAGAGGTACAGTAGGGACAGTGGTGGGGACAGTGGGGACAGTGGTGGGAACAGAGGGACAGCTCAGTGGGACAGCGGCGGGGACAGTGGGACAGTGGGACAGTGGGACAGTGGGGACAGTGGGACAGTGGTTGGGGCCGTGGAGAAAGTGGGGAGAGTGGAACCGTGGTGGGAACAGTGGTGGGGGCAGTGTGGACAGTGCGACAGTGGTAGGGGCACTAGTGAGGACAGTGGTGACGGTGGTGGGAACAGTGGGGACAGTGGTGGTGAGGACAGTGGTGCTGGGGACAGCAGTGGGGTGGGGGATGATGTGCTGCGGACCGTGGTAGAGACCCAGAGTTGTTTGCTGGCGGTGAGCGTGGGGGGGGGGCAGAGGGGTTCGATCCAGTAGTGACCCCCCCCCGGTTTTCGAGGGGGGGGGGTTCGAACCGGTAGTGACACCCCCCAGTTTTCGATAGGGGGGGGGAGGGGTTCGAACCGGTAGTAACCTCCCTTCGGTTTTCGAGGGTGTGGGGGGGGGGGCGGTTCGAACCGGTAGTGACCCCCCCTTGTTTTTCGGAGGGGTTGGGGGGGGTTCGAGCCGTTTTCGAAGGGGGAGGGGTGGGTGGGGGGTTCGGTAGTGACGCCCCCCCGGTTTTCCGGAGGGGGAGGGGGGGTTCGAACCGGTAGTGACCCCTCTCTGGTTTTCTGAGGGGGGGGGAGGGGTTCGAACTGGTAGTGACCCCCCCCCGGTTTTTTCGAGGGGGGGGGGGGGTTCGAACTTGTGGTGACCCCCCTCCGGTTTTCCGGAGGGGGGGGGGGTAGGGGAGGGGGGGGCTTTGCCCGGGGGAAGAGGGTGGGGGGGTACGGTTCCAGCAGGGGGGGGATTTTCGGTGGGGGGGGACCCCGGGTTCCGGAGGAAGAGGGGGGGGAATTTTCCACAGTAAAGCGGCGGTGGATCACGCTCTCTCCAACATAACCGTCCGTCGTCACTTTTGGACGACGAGTGAAGGAGGGGCGGTCGTGCACCGCTCCGACGGGCGTCTCTGGAGAGGGGGGAGGATCCCAGCCCTCTTCTCGTCGTGAGGGCAACGACGCCGACGACAACGACGCCGACGACAACGACGGCGGCGACGACGACGGCGGCGACGACGACGCCGCCGACGACGACGACGCCGACGCAGACGTCGACGCCGACGACGGTGCCGACGACGCCAACGACGCCGACGACGACGCCGACGACGCCGACGTAGACGACGACGACGCCGACGATGCCGACGCCGACGCCGACGCCGACGCCGACGTAGACGACGACGCCGACGTAGACGACGCCGACGAATACGACGACGACACCGACGACGACGACGACTCTGACGACGACGACGATGACGACGACGATGACGCTGACGCTGACGATGACGACGACGATGACGGCGGCGACGACGACAAATAAGGTCGGCGACGACGACGAAGGCGGCGGTGGCGGCGACGACGCCGGCGACGGCGGCGGCGTCGGCGGCGGCGACGGCGTTCTGTAGGACGTGCCGCCGCTGGTGCTGGAGCCAGGCTGGTGGCCGCCAGGGGTGCTCGGAGGCGTGCGCGAGCCCGCGCCAACGAGGATGCCGGCCAGACACGGCGGCAGCCTCAGAGGCTCCCGGCCCGCCCGTCGTCGTTCTCGCCGTCGTTGTCGCCGTCGCGTCGTCGTCGTCGTCGCCGTCGTCATCGTCGTCGCCGTCGTCGTCGGCGTCGTCGGCGGCGTCGTCGTCGTCGTCCACTTTTCCTGCTCCTCCTCGTGCTCCTGCTCCTCCTCTCCCCTTCTCCACCACCTCCTCTTCCTTCTCCTCCTCCTACCCCTGCGCCTGGTACCAACTTGCTGAAAAGGGTCCGTGCCCGCGTGCCCGAGCGCTTTCCCGGAGGGCTGGCCAGCCAGCCAGCCAGCCAGCCAGGCAGCCTCCTCTTCCTCCTCCTGCTCCTCCCCCCTCCTCCACCACCCATTCTCCATATAGACAAGTACTCCCTGTCGCACCATCAGACTTCGGATGTTTCGCTCGAAACCTCCTCGGCGCGGCTCATGAAGCTTCGGGTTTCGAGTAGTTACAAGGATGGAGGGCGGTACGTTTTCAAAATGGGGCTCTCGCCGTAGCACCGCGCACATTCGTTTTGAATGTTTGTGATAGTTACACGGCTGGAAGGCGGTGCGTTCTCAAAATCAAAATGGGACTCTCGCTGCAGAATTCCTTTACAAGGCCTGAATTGCAGGCCTGCTGCACGCTCGTTATTCAAGAGGTGCTTCTTGTAGTGAATCGAAGGCATGTACGGACTCATGAGGAGGGGGCTTGTCATTGATGTCTCCTGTGTTATTTCTAGTCCCCGTCCTTTCATATCCCCTTCGTTATGAATAATTCTTCCATTCTGCACCACGAGAGGTGTCCGTAGGCCTGGCTGGGCGTTTCGCTTGATACTACCGTCCAATACGTTAACTTGAAGCTTGCAGTTTACAACACGTGCACGGATAGAGGGTTGGTCGTTTTCAGGCTCTCGCCTTAGCGCCGCGCACATTCGTTTTACAATTTTCCAACAGTGACACGGAAGGAGGGCCGGTCGTTTGCGAATGTGGTTCCCGGCGCCATGCACATTTGTTTCAAACGCGTTTAGCAGTCATACGGACGGAGGCCAGTACGTTTTAGAGACGGCTATCGCCTGAGACTTCATCCAAAAAATATGACCTCAATCGTAGCATTGTGCAACACTTGCGCGGATGAATGGCGGCTCCTTTCCAACATCGGGCATTCGCTGGAGTCGTGTGATCTAGCGACCAGGAGTTCATACCGAGGAGGAGAAGGAGGAGGAGGAGGAGGAGGAGGAGGAGGAGGAGGAGGAGGAGGAGGAGGAGGAGGAGCTACACGGACGCAGGGTGGTTCCTCTTCAAAGCGGGGCCCTCGTTGGGCCCCTGCGAGAGCTTCAGAACCCCACCTCGTCGCATTGCTTATTTCTTGTAGGATGGAGGGTGACTTCCTTCAGATCGGAGCTTCCGCCTGCACTGCAGGCCCGTGGGGCGCTCGTCTTTCAAGGGGGGTGCTCCGCGCAGTCAAACACTATGGATGCTCGTTGGGGATGGTGGGCAGGGCCTTGGGACGGGATGCTGTACTTCAGCATCGTTGATTCGTCTTGATTTCATTATCCTCCTCCTCCTCCTCCTCTTCATCCTCCTCATCCTCTCCCCTCTGGCGCCCTCCTCCCTGCTCCTCATGCCTCCTCGTCCTCCTCGTCCTCGTCCTCTTCCTCTTCGTCCTCCTCCTCAGCTTCCCCATCCTCATACCTCCCTGGTACTCTTCGTGCTCCTCCTCCTTTCTTCCTTCTCCTTCCACTTTCCTCCTCCCACTTGTCTCCTCCTCCTCCTCTCCTCCTGCTCCTCCTCCTCCTCCTGTCTCCTCCTGTCTCCTCCTCCTCCTCCTCCCTCCACTTTCCTCCTCCCTCCTGCCTCCTCCTCTTCTGGTCGGGCGAGTTCTCGATCGCTGGTGTGCGTCCCAGTCGGAGCGGATGGGTCGGGGCGCATCGGGCCGCAGGTGGAACTTGGTCGGGGGGTGCCTCCAAGGCGACGACGGGCCCGAGCGGCTGCGGCTCGCGAGCGGCAAGGTCTGCTGGTCGTCGTCGTCGTCGTCGTCGTCGTCGTCGTCGTCGTCGTCGTCGTCGTCTCTGCCGTCTCTGCCGTCTCTATAATCTCCGTCGTTTTCGTCGTTGTCGTGGTCGTCGTCGTGGTCGTCGTCGTGGTCGTCGTCGTCCTCCTCCTCCCGTTCTTGTGTCCCTCTCGTGCTGGCATGGGCAGCAGTGGTCCGCCATCGTCGCGCCTTGGGCTGCGTCCTCCCTATCCCTCCCCTTCGTCTTGCTCCTCATCATCAGTCTCGCCATCCTGCTTCTGCTGCTCCTGGTCATCCCAGCCCTCGTGTCCGCCCTCACCCTCATGCTCATACTCCGCTCCCCGTTCCCCCCTCCTGCTTCTCCCTCCTCCCCTCCCCGCTCCTGTGCCTCGCTCCTGCGTCTCGCTCCGCCCCCCGCTCCCCGCTCCCGCTGCCCCCCCTCTCTTGCCCTGCTCTCTGCCCCCCCCCCCCTCGTCCTCTCTCCCCCCGTGGAGTGCAGCCAGGCACCGCCACCGTGGCTGGACGGAACCATCCTGGGCCTTGCACCGTGCGAGGGCCCAGGGTGGCCCTGGCCAGGCACTGTGGCAGTGTCCAGATGCCTGCTGCGCATGCTGTTTTCGTTTGCCCTTTCTGCGCGCGCTCCGCCCTCCCAGCTCCCGCCGCTCTCCACCTGGACGGCGCGCTCCAGACAGGGCCTCGCCTTCGAGGATCGAAGGAGTTGGCACCTCGTCCTCGGCGGAAGGCGGCGGAAGGCGGAAGGCGGCGGGAGCAACGCGAGGCCGCCTCCCCCGGCGGAAGCTGGCGGAAGGCTGGCAGCTGCTGGCGAAAGTAACACATTTGTTTCCAACAAGATACACTTATTGTGGTTTTCGCGGTTTCCGGAACTGGCCATATCTCCCCCCGAGAGGAGGTCTGAAGGGAGGTCTATGCAGGAAGGGTGGCAGACGGAGGCGTGGGTCTTTCGCTCCCAGTGAGAGGAGCAGACCAAGCTCGGCGTGGTCAGGCTGGACCCGTGCGAGATCCAGAACACGCAGAGGACATCGTCGGAGGGCAAAGCTGCACAGGCAGTCCTCTCTTGGGCTGGGGGATGGGGGGGGCTTCCCCGTTAGAGTGCTGCTTCCGAGTCCGAGGGCTTCGCGGACAGCGCCAGCGTGCTGGACCCATGGGAAGCCTGGCGAGAGAGCTCCTCCAAGGAGCGAAATGCACGCCCACTTGAGGCCACCCCCCCCAAAAACATAATTTTTAAGATAGGCGACGAACGAAGCAGACCAAAGGAAGCCAAACATACAAAAAACACTTGAGGCCCCCCCAGACCGACCCTGTGCAGCGTGCCCAACAGTTGGATCCTTCGGCGCAGGACAGTTTGGAAGACATTTTCTGACGGGCAGAGCGTCTTCAAGCTTATGGTGGCGCTGGCCCTTGGAGAAAGCAAGGTTACCGACTTTCCCGCCATTCGCGTATCGTTCGATGAGAGATCGCGGCAGTGGTTTTCAGCAGACAACCGCCGCTGCTTCGTGTTGAAGGTCGTGGCCCCGTTGATCGAGTTGGTTTCGGTTGAAGTGGAGCAGATCAACTGGACCTCGGAGATGGACAACAAGTTGGCTCAGAGGACAATACCCAACCTTGTTTGGGCTACGACTCCAGAGAGTGTCGACGAGGTGCGCCAGGAGGTAAGGGACGCCGTGGAGTCGGCGTCCCATGGAGCAGCGCCGAAGCACGACAGAAAGCAGGATGTTGCCGATCCGCTTGCGGCTGCTCTTGCGGCTGAGGTTGCCGAGCGCCTGGAGGAGACTGGCGCGGGGGCGCAGAGCGCTGCTGCGTACATGCCAGCGCAGGTAGGACGGGCGAGGCCGCGCCTCGCCCTGACGCCCTACGCGCTGGCCAGGGCAGCGCAGCCTCGAGGGGTGGCACCGACAGCTCGCTGCGAGGGCATCTTCCAGGGCGTGCCAGTGGCGCCAGGGCCTCTGGAGGGCGGCCGTGGCAGCGACGCCGGCCTGCCTGCGCCTGGGCTGGCGGGAAGTCTCACGCCGCCGGCCTTGCCCAACGCAGCCCGCTGCGCGGGAGCTCATCAGGGCGAGCCAATGGTACCAGGGCCGCTGGTGGGTTCCATTAGCAGCGACGGTGCTTCGCTTGCGCCAGGGTTTGTGGAGAGCTCCACGCCGCCAGCATCGCTTGGCACAGAGGGCAGCCACCAGGGCGTGCCAAAGGCGCCAGCGCCGCTGGGGGTCTGCAGCGCCAACGACGCCGCCTCGCTGGCACCAGGGCCTGTGCTGGGCCCACTGCCACTGGCACCGCCGAGAGCGTCTCACTGCTTGGGCAGGCAGGCCCCGCGCGCGGCAGGCCCCATGGAGATCCAGACGTCCCTGCCGACGCGTGCCGCATTCAATGACGTGGGCTGCCGCCAGGGCGTGCCACTGGTGCCAGAGCCGCTGGTGGCCGGCCACAGCAGTGCCCGCGCCCCACGGGCGCCAGGACCCGTCCTGCACGCGGGCGGGGGAAGTCCTGCGCTGGCAACGCTGCCGGGCACGGAGTACGGCAGAGATCGGGTCGCGCGCATCCTGAGGAACGTGCAGGCGCAGGTGCGGGCGCAGCCGCAGCCGCGCGTGCCGCCAGGTCCCCGTCTGCAGCCCCCAGCCGCCCCACAGCCGGCGCCGCGGCCGGCCAAGGCCCCGCTGAAGCGCGACGCCAGCGACTGCGAGCGGGTCCTGGGCCTGGTTGCCAGGGACCTTGCGCGAGCCGTGAGGCCTGGGGAGCTGGCGAGGGACCCGGTCAGCGTGCTGAACCTGGCGGTCATGGGCCATTTCAAGCCCCACTCGGAGGGCCGCGGCGAGGACTGGCCCGCTGGAACACCCAGGTCGAGGTCGGCTGAGGCCTTGTGTGGCCAGGGGCCTCGACGCACCTGGGGCCTGCACCACCATTCCCTGGTCCTCGTCCCTCGCGTCGTCCTTTGTCCTCCTCGCCTTCATCCTTCTATCCCTCCTCGGCCTCTTCTCCCTCCTTCTGCTCCTCCAGCTCCTCCACCTCCACCTCCGGCTCCTGTCCCACTCCTCATCCTCTGCTTTTCTGTCTTTATTCGTGGGCATAAAAAACGCCCCTACCCTGGTTTACGAGGCGCTGTGCGCTGAAACTCCTGTGGGCTGACAGGGTAAACCCTGCATGATGTGCCGCGTCCTGGCGGCTCTAGGCTTTGGGGGCTCCCAGGAGGTTTACAGACCACGCACTTGTAACCTAGGGTAGGGTCGTTTTTACCTAACAGCTTGTTCTGATAGGTTTCTAGTGGGGTCAAAAGAGAGCAGCAGATGATTCCACAGGGGGGTCTGGGCGGGTGCCGGACAGGGTGCCGCAGAAGTCGTTTTAAGCCAACGGTCGCACACTTCGTGCTCTTCGACTTCCCAGAACTCTATTCCCGGGCCACATTCTGAATGCCCGGAGCCAACTGTAGGCCACTTCGTGCTCTTCGAGTTCCCAGAACTCCATTCCCGGGCCACATTTTGAATGCCCGGAGCCAACTGTAGGCCACTTCGTGGTCTTCGAGTTCCCAGAACTCCATTCCCGGGCCACATTTTGAATGCCCGGAGCCAACTGTAGGCCACTTCGTGCTCTTCGAGTTCCCAGAACTCCATTCCCGGGCCACATTTTGAATGCCCGGAGCCAACTGTAGGCCACTTCGTGCTCTTCGAGTTCCCAGAACTCCATTCCCGGGCCACATTTTGAATGCCCGGAGCCAACTGTAGGCCACTTCGTGGTCTTCGAGTTCCCAGAACTCCATTCCCGGGCATGATTTTGAATGCCCCGGAGCCAACTGTAGGCCACTTCGTGTTCTTCGAGTTCCCAGAACTCCATTCCCGGGCCACATTTTGAATGGGCCACATTTTGAATGCTGCTGAGGCTGAGGCTGAGGCTGAGGCTGAGGCTGAGGCTGATGCTGAGGCTGAGGCAGGCTGAGGCTGAGGCAGGCTGAGGCTGAGGCCGAGGCTGAAGGCAGACTGAGGCTGAGGCTGAAGCAGGCTGAGGCTGAGGCTGAGGCAGGCTGAGGCTGAGGCAGGCTGAGGCTGAGGCTGAGGCAGGCTGAGGCTGAGGCTGTGTCTGTGACTGCCGTTGCCACTGCGACTGTCATCGCGAATGCGACTACGACTGCGAGAACAGCACAATTCTACAACTGGATTCTCATTTGAATCTTAAGGGGAATGCTTCCAGATATGCTCCTACACATCGCTGTTAGGTTGCTTTGCCGGGATAATTTACCTAACAGCGAAGACTGATAGGTTTCTACAAGACTCAAAAGAGAGCAGCAGATGACTCCACAGGGGGGTCTGGGCGGGTGCCGGACAGGGTGCCGCAGAAGTCGTTTTAAGCCAACAGTCACACACTTCGTGCTCTTCGACCTCCCAGAACTCCATTCCCGGGCCACATTCTGAATGCCCGGAGCCAACTGTAGGCCACTTCGTGCTCTTCGACTTCCCAGAACTCCATTCCCGGGCCACATTTTGAATGCCCGGAGCCAACTGTAGGCCACTTCGTGCTCTTCGAGTTCCCAGAACTCCATTCCCGGGCCACATTTTGAATGCCCGGAGCCAACTGTAGGCCACTTCGTGCTTTTCTATTTCCCAGAACTCCATTCCCGGGCCACATTTTGAATGCCCGGAGCCAACTGTAGGCCACTTCGTGCTCTTCGAGTTCCCAGAACTCCATTCCCGGGCCACATTTTGAATGACCGTAGCCAACTGTAGGCAACTTCGTGCTCTTCGACTTCCCAGAACTCCCATTCCTGGGCCACATTTTCAGCAGGGGCAAGAGCACGACGAGGAGGAGGACGAGCAAGACCAGGAGGACGAGGACGAGCAGGGGCAGGACGAGGAGCAGGAGGAGCAGGAGAAGAAGGACGAGCAGGAGGAGGAGGAGGACGAGCAGGAGGAAGAGGACGACCAGGAGGAGGAGGGCGACCAGGAAGAGGAGGGGGAGGAG